TTATACATGGTCTTACATCGTAAGTTATAAAGGACTGTGTGTTCAGCAGCGGTTTGTGTGGTCGTTCGTTCTAGAGTGTTGGAAGGCATGTACTATCGCTGGGGTGCAGATTTGTTTAAACAAGTAACGCTCATCTTTGATTCACTAACCCTTGACTGAAAGATCCTGGTGCTAACGGACCCGACATGTACGGTGCGCGAAATTCGCAACTTACAGAAAATGATTTTTGTTGTCTTCGGTATGGTTGAATAAAACTACTCGACCACATAACGGTTTCCTTTTATGTCAAAATTGACATACAAAGTCTGACAAAAATAAAACCGCCCGCTTTTAGAGCATACCCGACTACCTGTTGAGCGCTGGTTAGAATTTTGTGTTGCGTTTCTTTAATGAGATACTATAGCAGAAAGTAATAGGTGTCTCCGAGCAAAATCTGTCACTATAAACACATCATGTGTTCAAATACTTACTATGATTCTATTGTTGTTATATTTATTTTCTTTTTACGTATATCAAAATGTGTTTTAGACAAAGGAGGAAATTCGTCCAGTATCTGAAAATTGTTAATTAAGTCTAATTACCTGTTTTTTGAAACTAATGAAAAACTTGCAAAGTTCCGGTCGAAAGTGGATCAAAGCATAATTTATCATACTCCATTTAAAAGAGTGTTTAAAACACTTCAAGTTTCTATAATTATATAATTTCAAACGTATTCTGTTATAGGGAAAATAGATTTGATGAGGGAGATACGTTTGAAGACGACAAAAGCTGCAAGAACTTGTGTAGGTACTTTGGTATCGTACTTTTTTCTTCCTCAAAGTCAATCATAAAAATTTTAAAAGAAAAAAAAGTAAAAGAATCTTTGCAATTACTGCAAGGAATGAAAAAACGTGGTGTCTACCGCAAATAATTTCTTCGAAATGGTACGTCTTGAAAAACAACTTCTATAATGTGAAATATTTGCACTTGTTCAGACCACTCAACTTGCACAACCAATGAATCAGCCGATAAACGATGCTGACAAAATTCCAAGAAAAGCTGATATCATCTACTACCAAATAAGATCTGAATTTTCGCAGTTTAATGCTGATCTCTATCAAAGGCATTTATCAGATACTGATCGTTGCCAATGCGGCGAATTAGAAACACGACAACATTTTTTTCTTCGTTGTCCCCGTTATACTTTCTCTAGAAATCATTTATATAACAGTTTACGATCCTTACTGAACGGCAATCCTCTTAATCTCGCTCTTCTCTCTCTTAATGTATCTCTTGAGAAGGACTCTTATGGACTTGTAGCCAGATCAGTGGTAGACTACATAATTGCTACAAAACGTTTTAAATTTTTAAACTAACCATCCAAATTTGTTGTGATCTCTACACTGTTTTTGCGCTTTCGCTTAGCGTCTGTGCAGTGCCTCAAACTTTTAGTGTGCATCATTTTATTCTTCTTGTTGTTCATCCTTATATTTCTTTTTTCCTTCTTTCCCTCCCATTTTTATTTTTTCTTGCTGTTTACAGATAATAGATTATAACATTTACCATGTCATTTTCCTCTGATATAATGGCCTAGGCCGCATCTGTGTAAATTACCATCGATTGAACTATTCCAGATGATGAACGCCGTTTCAGGAGATAAATGGACTATCGATTCCAGATGTTCGTGTTGCATGCACTATTAACACCACTGGAAGAAATATTATTCCATATGTTTATAGGGCGGATGAAGATGGTTTCATGTTGGGTGCTGATGACTTTTCAACTCTGATCAGTAAGTTAAGATTACTCATGAATTTCGAAGTTAGCCATTGATGATGCTGATTTAGATGATATCGTGTTTCTTTCTGCCATCCGCAAGTACATCAATCAGCTGCAATACGATAAGCTGAAAATCCGTGCACAACCTAACACAACGTCGAATGGTACCCCAAAAAAATCGATATTTCTGTTCTCTTCTATCATTCTACATTTGACTGCTACTAGCGACAGATAGTCTTTACACTTTAAATGCGCGAATTATGAAACTTAGATAAACATCTTCTGTTTCAATAAGTTTCTTATCCTGCTGGCTTTCGAATTTTTCCTTATTTTCTCAACTAAGGCAATAACTTGTCCAGATTGGTCGTCACTTATTCGCCAGATTATTCATGTCATAAATCTTACAACCGTGTACTACAGATTGAAAAGAACGGATGTGTATGAGTGGTATGTGTATGTACGCATGCTCCACGTCTTGCCCACTTGTGTTCTGATATGTTTCTTCATTCGTTGTGTTTTCTTTTCTTCTCTCCTTTCTTCTTGTTTTTCTTTCTTTTGTGAGTAGTCGAGAGAGCGAAGCATCATACGGTTGTCTGTTGTCTCATGCGAAGGCATCTCCATTGTGACCGAACCAAAAACCCTATAATGTGGAAACAAGTCATTTAGATATGCGAGGACATCGTATACATGTTCGATCTTCTACCTATAGCTTCTACTCTCCTTTGCGGAGTTTCCGGAAAGTTTTCAGTGAATTGTCACTAAATCCTCACTGGTCGCTATAGGTAGAAGGTCGAACATGTACACGATGTCCTCGCATATCTAAATAGATCAGATTCTCATAAAATGATATGTTGAGAAAAATCGAAAAAAGGTCTCGTCGGTTTTTGCTTTTTTTGAAAACGAAAGTCAGACAAGGAAGACACGATGCGTACTGTATCTTGTAGAGCTTTCGACGCTGCATCGTTTGGTATATAAAGAGTTTTTGATAAGTTGTACTCATCGACTGGAAAATGAGATACAAATCCCGGCCATTTAATATGGGTCACCCGTTATAATCAAAAATAAAGCAACCTTTAAACGAGCGAATAACATGCAGTGATGATGATCCGGCCTTTTTTCTCTTACTGTTTGACAGATGGTTCCCACCTCATCATGGATGAATAGATGGCGGAGTGAGAAATGTAAAAGGAAGATAAGGATGGAGTAGATGGAAATAAGCAACTAAAAACGATGTGGTCAACGAGTATTTTATTGTCGGTGATACTTAGGTATTAAAGTAGTATCCTCCAATGTTCAAAGAATGATATAAGATGGTGCCTATATTTAGCCTTTTACGTATGTTTTCTATTCTCTATGCTTTGATCTGTCTACCGCTCTTAGTTTATTAGATCAAGCCGAAGCTCAGGCATGTCAAGGTGCAATTCAATACGGGGAATGTTAATCGAACATCGCATGTGGCGGCCTTCCTCTGATAAATACTGACAATGACGGTATATGTGCTTTCCTTGATATCAGATGTTCTGAATTAATCTCATGTGCCAACAACATCATTCGAACCGTTAGTAGGAGATGAATAATCCCAAGCATGGGTTTAGAACATTTGTGTTCCGTTGTTGAGAAAATCAATTTTTTCGAAATTGGTAGCAAAAGGTTAAAAAATTGCCCTCGTATTTCGAGATTTTGACGATCAAAGTTGGTTTCTATGTATATATCCTGCTGGACAGGACGAAGAAGCAAATCTGGTCCTGCCCTGCCATGCGGCCGGACAGGACGAAAAAACCTGTCCTGTGCTCGTCTCTGATAGAGATCGTCAAAAAATTCGTTCTGTTTCAGCATGATTGTTCCTGTAGAAGTATTCTCTTTCTAGTTACAAACTAGATAACGGCATGTGTAATACATTGCACAATCATCATGAAAGGAGTGCACCATTGTGCGTGTCATGTCGAGTGACAAATGTGGAATCGTCCGAGCGACTTTCACGGTGAAGTAAAGATGATAAAGGAAAAAAGGAAAAAAATCAATTCTATATAAGCAGGGTAGTCTGCAGAGCAAGCGTTATTTCAATCTTCGACTAACTTGCAACTGCGTGTAAGGCAAGTGAACAAATGATTAAAATCTCTATAGTCAATGAATGAGTTTTAAATTGTAGTTATCTCATCGTTATGGCATTACCTGCTTATATTAATATCTCACTTCACCACCTGACCGGCCAACGGCATGTTATGTTACTACCGTTACCATTCATGCTCGCCGATTTTATAGAGGAGGTTGTGAAGATTCTTGGTGACTCTGCGAATCGTTGCAAATTCGTCATGAACCGCATCGAACTCGACCTGTGCAACGACACTACATTCAATTTTCAAAAAGCATTAATCACACATGGATCAACAATATTTACTATTCTCCGTATGGCAGGTGGTTGTTTCTTGTCAGATACATTCATTTCACTGTCCAATGGGATGAAAAAGAGAATCAGCGAGGTTCAAGTAGTTGATACTGTGCTGGCATTTACTGCCTTTGGCGAGATCGTTACTACTTCGGTTCAAGAAGTGTTCGTTCGTGACGTCGACGAGTATGTAGAATTACATGCTGGACAAATCCTACTGCGCGTAACATGCGATCATCCATTCTTCGTTGGAAACGGCAATTTTTGTCCCCTCGAGAAACTACGCATCAACGACTGCATTCACAGTTTGTTTGATGGAAGTCTTCAACTGACGTCGATCACGAGCATGAAATCTATTGTTGCACCGGGGACACGTGTCTACAATTTCCACACTGCAGATGTACACACCTATTTTGCTAATGGCGTTGCTGTCCACAACACGTCAGGTGCACAATTTGTCGATCTGAGCAACATTAAAGGTTTAAAAAGGCTTGAATGGAATTCTCATGCTCCTGAGTGGCGGATCGCAATGCCTGGAATTTGTTTTGAGGACAAATGTACGAATGCATCTTGCAAGGCATATAAACAGCAGTTGATTATTAATATCGGATTTAAAAAATTCGATTATCTAACAGATGTGAGTGCTGATACGTCGAAGTGTCTCGTGTGTAGTAGCTTTGTTGAACCGGAGACGTGCGCTTTTAACAACTGTACGTGGAAATGGTGGGGTATAAAACAATCTCAGAGTGGCATGCCACCTGAAAAGGTTTCGGCGGACTGGAGAATTGCTGACAATGCCTATCATCGATTCGATCAAGATGTGGCTGGAACCGTTACATGGCGACAATTATTTATCGAAGCGAAACCGAATTGACACCAAACTTAAATTGAATTACATCAGTACTTGCTTTCTTGTGATGAAATATTTCTAAATGTAATTCGAATCTTGGCACCATAGATGACAATGATTCTCTCGAACAAATGTGGAGAGAGCTATTAAGTTTCAACGGTGTTCGTGCCGTTGGCTCCCATGAAAAAACGCAAAAACTATCCTGTATCGAATACTGCACGATTGCAGCAGTGGTCAGGTTTCTAAAAGACAAAATTACCGTAATTTTCATAACACATGGAAAGGACAAGTGGCGCTAAGACCATTTTTTGTCCAAAATATTTTTCAAAAAGAATCACATATTCGGAATCAGCAATGAATTCTGAATAAAATGATGTATTTCGTTTCGTGCAGAAATGACTTTCATTTTTTACCTGTCTTTTAGCACCTGTAGGGACCCCAGGAACGTCGAAAAACTTTTTTCGTCAAACTCTATTGAGCTGTTTCATGGGATCTCTACCACGTTTACATCAAATATCTCCAAACTTGCTCAACAGGGACATAGTGTATAGAGCTTTTGACGCTGATCATTTTCGTATATAATAAGTATTGATTTGAGTTTAAAATAGAAGAACACTGATCAAAATATTGGGAGACGCTATTCACAATTTTTTTCGAAAAAAGTTTTCGTTGAAAATTTGTTCTCCACATTTTCATGTTTTCCTGTCATTCAAATCGAAATTTTAACTTCATACTCGGATAGCTTGTTAAAAGCTGTTTCAGATAACGGCCTGGCCAAACGTGTCGCACGGACATTTTTTGAGAAATCATCTCATTTATCTCAAGACTATTTGTATTTTCAGTGTTCGATATAGGATACAGCTCTATATTGTCGGCGCCGACATTAAAAACATGAATGTCGGTAGATAAATCAGTAATAATTTGTGGGTCTAGCAGAGATGTCCATCGCGGTTAGTAATCAGCCGCTGCCGCGCCGCTAAGGTTTCGAAAAAACTGATGCCGCGCCGCTACCCTAATAATTAGATCGCAACATTTTTATATTGCTAATATTTCATGAAAATATACTTTATCTTCGTAGTATTTTATTTTATTTATTTACAATCAAGACGTTTCGATCGCCATGTGCAATCTTCTTCAGTTGCACATGGCGATCGAAACGTCTTGATTGTAAATAAATAAAATAAAATACTACGAAGATAAAGTATATTTTCATGAAATATTAGCAATATAATCTATCTAACTTCGTATAATAAAAAGACCCTATTCAACTTTTAAATGGCAACATTTTTAGTTGAAGTTTGACTTCGTTCGATATGTCGGATTGGGTAAAAAAAAAAAAAGAAGAAAAACTACGATCAAAGATAGAATTTCAAAAGCAATTCGGCAGCCGATTTTTACTTCATCGGTGACTAAATTTAAGTCTTTTTGTTGGTTGTTCACAGAATACGCACTTTAATGAACAATTAAGGTCTATTTTTGAATTTTACATGTAATGAGACTTTCTCTAATTTTAGCCACCTCAAAAAAGACATCAACCGGAGACACACAAAAATTCAAGAGAGTCAGATATTCCTCGAATCATTTCACATGTGAGTTTTCCAGTTAAATTTTTTTAGCGAAATAAATTAACTATTCCGAGTTTATTCTATTTTTTAAATATCAATTCTCGTCCAGAAAAAAAATTTCCAAAGACTTCTCAAAAATCTAATTGAAGTTTTTACGATTAAAGTTTTACGTTAATTAACGAGTTTGCTCAATTTACCGATAAACGTTGCTCTAAATCAAAATTAATCTGGATATGTTTAACATACTCATTCTGAATTCAACGTCCATATTTCTCTTGTCCTTAAAGTACATTAGTACTTCGTATTCTACTTAGCAGAAAAAATGCAACCGTTACGACTCTCTTACCATTATAGTTTTTCACTCATTTAAAGGAAACAATTTCAGTACAATCACTGATCAAAAACCAACTTTTAGCCCATCAACAAACAAGATTTAGACGCTTAGCAATTAATGTGAAAGATTATCGAGCAAAAGGTATCAATTTAAAAGACAATTTAGCCATTTATGCAACAGTTAAGGTGATTGAAAAGACATTAAAAACAAAATACAATGAAAGATACGATAAAAAAATTATAGCTACCACTGTAAAGACCAATTTTAATGAAAGAGATATTCCTGATGAATTAGTAGCTGATCTTCCCGTGCAAATGATAACGAACAGCAAAAATCTGAGCGACAAATTACTACAAAAGAAGTTTTGTTCAATAAAGTAAAAAGTCACTTTTCTGGAATAAGCAATATAGCCCAGTAAATATTTAACACAGCTTTTAAAGGTGACGAAGAATCGGAAGAGTTCCGAATCGATCAGTCACAGAATTCAACAACAAAGAAAGTAAGCTTGAACAACAACTTTTGCTCTTTTTCTTTTGCGTACTTTTATTTTTACCATTTAGAAGACAGGACGAAAAAAAATATTAACAGATAGACAAACAGTTTTGCGTATTGATATATCATCGTTCGTTAATAAAGACAAAACTCTTAAAAACAAACAGTATATCACTAATTTGATAACATTTGTTATGTCGATAGCAATCAAACATAATTTGATTTTTACCAAATCCGACATATCGAACGAAGTCAAAATTCAACTAAAAATGTTGTGATCTAATTATTACCTCAAACCACAAAAAAAGAGAAAACGAAATTCTGAGTTATGGTCCACAAAAATCATCGATATTAAAATAGAATGTTCACTAGACCCACAAATTATTACTGATTTATCTACCGACATTCATATAGTGTATATACAAAGCATAAGTTTATTTATATTCAAATGAAAGCGGCTTCCAAGTTCGTTCGTATGACGCAACAAGGAAGTTTCTAGCGCTTTCTACTTCTTCATGGTAAGCGTAGCCATGAGACCTACTTTGGCCCTCCCGGCCTCCTCTGTCGAAAACGACACATCATTTCTTCTAATGATCCAATGATGATTTGGTGAATGATAAAAGTGAATTATAGATTTGAATAACTCCTCTTTGGTGATGGTTGTTCATCAAATTCATTTTTATTATCTGGTTATGGTGTTGCTAATACATATACATCAAAAAAATGATATTGTTCGTCGTTGGATTTATATTTTTGAGAATTGTTTTCAAAAACAAATTCGTATTATTGACTTTTCAACAGGTGTTATTCTATTTCTTAGTCTATTCTTACCTAGTCTTACTGTAAACAGAAATGACTATGAACTGTATTGACACGCTTTTCTTTCTCTTACAAAAGATGATGATAACAAATATATGAGAGCAATGCGTTTAATGAGTGGATTCTTTGCATCTCTTCCAAATATGACATTACATCAGCGACCAGAAGCATTTGAAATACATTTACCATCAAAATGGCCGTGGTTTTATCTTCGACGACAACAATTATTATTATTTCTACAGGATCCTACACATTTAGTTACAAAGTGGAGAAATCGTTTATTATTTTCAACAACACAACTCATGTGGGTCAACAATTAATTTCCATACAGCATTTGCAAGATATTATTGATAGTGACGCATATTCTAAACTTGATCATGGTCTTGTTCGGACAGATATTAATCCTAAAGACAGACAAAATTATCGTTCTTGTGAAAAACTGACATCAAATGATTTGTTAAATATTGTACGTAGTAATCCTAAGACATCAGAAACATTTGTTTATCTTCATCTATTAAAATTGTTAATAGCTGCTTATATTGAAAAATCAACAACAGTTGCAGAACGTTTGCATTCAGCATGGGTTGTTGTATTTGTTTGTCGATTATGGTGGTCATGGCTTAAAAATAAAACATTTGCTAATAAATCATCACTATCATCAGCAATAAAAACTAAGAAAAAGAAAACCAGTATAGACAAATATTTTATGACTAAAACAGCATACTTATCCGTTGAAATTAATGCACACAATTTACTTTACTTAATATTATTAGTTAAACAAAAAAACCTGCCGAAAGAAGTATTAAGTATATACTTATTTAATTCTCAATCCTGTGAATCTATATTTCGTAATACGAGATCATTTAGTGGTGCTTACTCTACAATTATCAATTTCACAGTTAGTGATTTTCTTCGACGAGCAGAAAAATTATCCATATTAAATCAAATTAAGCGCAGTCAACAATCAAACAATAATGATCATCTTTTATTTCCAGTACATCACAAACATAAAAAAGATAATCATTTATTAAAACTACAAATTACTGATGATGTTGAACAATTAGATATTGAACAAACTATATTAGACTCATATAATACATCAATTAGATTGATTGAAGATTTGCATATGTCAACAGTTTTAAAACAACATGGTATATTTCAATTACAACAATTAAGTAAATATGTATTTCATGAATTAAGTTCCGCATCGAAAATGTTTGATAATTGTACAACAAATAATACCAGTGATGATTCTGATTCAGATTCAGAACGTGAACCTGAATTAGATGATGCTGATAATAATAACAACGACAGTGACGAAGATAGTGAATGTCAATCCGATGATAATGGAAGTATCAGTACAGCAAAAACAAACTTTTCTGGTATACATATTAAAGACAAGATTACCACTGAATTAAAAAATTCGTATTTTAAAATAATAATTAATAACACTGATAAATATTTACATCCCTCACAGTCAGCAATCTGGCTGTTAACAGACAAAAATAATCTTTGAGTCATTTTGTAAGGTGAAGAATTTCAATATAGATAATAAGAGATACACATGATGAAAAAGGTTGTGTATCTCTTATTATCTATATAAAAATAATCTTATATCAACCGATAGATTATCACGAGTGATTGAAACGATCAAAAAAAAAATAAAAACACTTCATCTTGTTTTCCTGCTTTCTGTTTTTGTGTACAAATAAGTAGTGTGCTATACATTATCAGCTCTCATTTTCATGGTACAAATAAGCATTAGCGCAATCCAAATATTAGACAACAGTCTCCCAAGAACTTGGACTCCTGTGGACTCCAGGAGTCCGCTATTTCCCCCTTGGGTTTTCGCCATTCGAAAGACGACTGACTTACTAAAGACGAAAATGATTTCAAGCTCCTCTTTCGTTCTACACTAGGAAAAAACCAACATAACAGAACGTGCGTATTTTTTTCTTCCAGTTGAAGCACTAGTCAATAATCAGCTAGATCTGAATAGCTGAATCAGCTTTCCAGTTTTTCCAACTGATTCAAATCTCATTAAAATGCACGTCCTTATTCAGACCCATTTTGGGATCCAGCCATATTGAACAGTGATCAGAAATTTTGCCAATATTTCTATTGTCCGTATTGTGAAGAGAGGATGTAGGTGCTACTGACATGTTATCCGAGATATATTCTTGACTATCTGCTTAGTTTAATTGTGAAAAGTAAAGGAAAATTATTTCTTCTTATATATGAAAATATATTTTTTCTTTGGCTCAGTAAGAAAAATTCAACTTTATTACAACTGGAGGCTAAAGATGTAAATGATTTCAAGCTCCTCTTTCGTTCTACACTAGGAAAAAACCAACATAACAGAACGTGCGTATTTTTTTCTTTCAGTTGAAGCACTAGTCAATAATCAGCTAGATCTGAATAGCTGAATCAGCTTTCCAGTTTTTCCAACTGATTCAAATCTCATTAAAATGCACGTCCTTATTCAGACCTGAAAATACTGATCAGCTCTGATTCTAGTGACGGAATCAGAGCTGAATTTTCTGAAAGTGTCAGTTTCAGATTTTTCAGAGGTGATTAAGATCAGATTTTCCAGGTCTGAATCAGCTATTCGAAGAAAAAAGCTTCTGTGAACATTTTTTTCGACTCCGAGAGGTCAAAGTGTGTTTTTTAATATCTGTCTATTGTTTGTCCAGAAATAGTTCAAAATACTCTACAAACTGTTACAATTCATGAAAACACAACTTTCATTTACAACGTGGAATAATAATAAACATGAAACAATAAAAAAAAAGTGGACAATATAAAAATGGAACAATACTTCCACAATATATACAGTTCAAACTACTGATAAATCGTCACTGTTCGAGTGAGCTACAAAAGGACAGTGCCTCGGAGCTTTTGTGCATTGTGTTTACTTTGCCAGTAAACTATTATTTTGTAAATCAAGACAAATAAATATCTATTATCGGATTAAAAAGAAGGAGTCAGTAGGAAGGCTATAACTCAGCGAAGAAGATAGACAGCGGGCCGTGGCTTTCGCCATTCGAAAGACGACTACAGGGCACGTATACCTATGCAAAAAGCAGAGTTTTGCGAATTGTTTCAGGGGTTTTCCAAAAGGAGTCAATGTTTGGAAAACTAGTTGCCATTATATAACGTGGTCTAAAAGTCTTATGCGAAGCATTAGAGCTTCTAATACTAGCGAAATCTATCAAAAACAGCTGAACAAATTTTTTCTGAGTATGTGTGAGCTTGGAGAAAAGCACTTCTGATTTATTTACAGAACGCCAGCTTAATTGACAATGTACATCTGATCCACCTGTAGAAAAAATTAAAATCACCTGACCTTCCTCTCCTTAAGCCAATCCTGAATCTCACCCTTTCTCGAAGCTCGTTTTGGCACAATGAATTCTGGAGTGCGACTAACGTGCCACGGCGCGTTGTCCAGGCATATCGCTATCCGGTTGCCTTCTCTATATTAATTCGGCATATCGAATCCTGATTTTAATTTTTTCTACAGGTGGATCAGATGTACATTGTCAATTAAGCTGGCGTTCTGTAAATAAATCAGAAGTGCTTTTCTCCAAGCTCACACATACTCAGAAAAAATTTGTTCAG